ATTTTGTGCTTGTAATGAGTGGCACGAATCCCTGCCCATCATTCAATGCGAGAACCGCAGTACACATTGCCGTTAGAGGATGTGCATGAGGATATCGCAACCTTTGAATGAGTGCGGAGTGGATCTATGTACTCCACCTACCAAGCACATTTTTATTCTCTGCTTACACAGCATACCTCTTCTCTCTCTCGTCTCACTCTCTCTCTATATACTTATAACCTATATATAATATATATATCATATAATAATATATATATTATATCATACTATATTATACTAAAAGAAAAGTGAATCTAGCTGCATACCCACTAGGCTCCCACCTAAGGACGCCGCCGCAGAGATCACATCGACTTTCACATTTTTTTTGCGATCCCTCGTTGAACTTGATCTACACGTTGCTTAACCGCAAACCGCATCAATTTTGACGTGAACCGTGCCGTGTGTTTGACCCTTTAATCCTCGCTGGCAATTTTAACGTCAGATTTGAGATGAATAAAACTTTTGCACGGCCTGCAACGAATGGTTAAAACAACGGCGTCACCTCGCCAAATTGAAGTGTGTTGGGTTAAGAACGTGTAGATCAGTTCAACGGAGGCGGATCGCAAAAAAATTATAGGAAATGATGTATTCTACGGCGCGTCCTTAGGTGAGCCTTTAGGGTGTCACCTTAGATTATCACTTTTCCCATCCAATATATATATATAAATATACAATGTATATATATATATCATATTATATATATATAAAATAGTGTGAATGGTGTTCGTGTGTGTGTGAGGTGTGTGTGTGATGTGTATTTGTTTCCTTATATACTTAGTATTATTCAATGCTAGAGTATATATATACAACAATATATATTATATGAGATTATTGGCTTGTCTATGTCGAGGGGATTTCCTCCTTGACAAATGATGTGGCATAATACCCACCATGTGAATAAGTAGGAGAGAGAATGATACATGGTGGGGATGTGTTGCCACATCATTTTGCAAGGAGAAATCCCCTCCCTATGACAAGGATACCCATTATTCTCTATATTATATATACGATATATTATATGTAAATATATTGTTATACATCAAAATTATAATATAACATGAGAGAGAGAATCACATGAAATTATTATATATTACTATATTTATAAAATACGTATTATATAGTATAATATGTATTTGTTACATACTTTCATATTATGCTTATTTAAGCGTAGTTATAAGTTTACTTATATGATATACTTTTATCTGATATTAGATGCAAAATATACTTATAATATAATTATACTGTATGCACTTATATATAATATATTATATAATAGTATATTAATATATATATTATATATATATATTAATATATAATATAATATATATATTACTTATATATATATAGAGAGAGAGAGAGCAGACGAGAGAGAGAAATGGTATGCTTGTACTAAGCAAATTTTGTGCTGGGTAGTGTCGTGTCACATCCTCATCCACTCATTACCATGTGAATGTGGTACCCATATTTATGAATGATAGAGGGGGATGTGACACATCACTACAAGCACAAGCTTTTTGTGCATGGCACAAGCATACCATTGCTTATATATATATACTATTATATATATTATAATATATAATATATATATTATATAGTATATATATATATATATTATATATATACTATATATAATATAGCTATAATTCGTATAATATCCATGTAAGTATACTTATAAATAGCATAGTCTACATTATATATATAATATTAGCATATAATTCTATAATATACGCATGTAAGTATCTTATAACTCAATTAGTCTACATTATATTATATATTTAGTATTCTTATATCTTAATATCTATACCATACTAAGAAGTATATAATATATATATATATATATTAATTATATATAGTTTATATATATATATATATATATATATATATATATATATATAACTATATATATATATATATAATAATAGATTAATGTGTATCCTTGTCATAGGAGGGGATTTTCTCTCTTGCACGCCTATGTGGACAAATCCGCCACATCCTCAGTAAAGTAGGAGAGAGAGAGGTGAGTTGGTGCGGATTTGTGTCCTTCTTATAGGATGTTGGGATTGTGCCACATAAGCGCCACAAGGAGCAGAAATCTCGCTCCTATGATAAGGATAACATAATCTTATAATATATACTATATAGTATATATTATATATATATATATATATATATATATTAAAATATATATAATAATATATATATATATAGGTTGAAAACTTGCTGTCAACTTAAGTGATAGAAATATTGTCACCAAACTTTTATCCATGGATCTTTGCCTAGAGGATCTTGCATGATAAGAAGAAGACTTTTTATATTAATAAATGGGGTGCTACAAAGTTGCTGTGGAAATAAACTAATCCATAATCCACTTAAGTTGAAATAGGAGTCTTGCTCTCTCATCTCTCTCTCTTTCTATATATATAATATATATATATATACTATAATATATGGATGAGGTTCTAATAAAAACCTAGAGAACTAAAAACCAATCCTAACCCTACATTCTATTTCATCCAATGGCCTAGATTTCGATGGCAGAATTGTAAATATAGACAAATTTAATACACTGCATTAATGTGAAAAGGGTAAAATTGGAACAATTCATTGCATTAATGGTGACTGATTACATTGGAACAATGATACAAATTTAATACACGTCCTTTAATACTCTCTCTTACATTAATAGTGCTACATTCTTTAATACTCTCTCTCTCTCTAACTCGCTTCCCGATCTCTGTAAATCTCACATGAAGAACACAACAACGCATTGAATCTGGATTCACTGAATTGATCTTCAATCCAGATTCACTCCAACGAATTGAATCTGGATTCACTCCAATCGATTTGCTGCTCCACTGGATTTGTGAATCATTCTAACCATCCAAGCAGAATAAGAAACTTATGGTAAAAAACAAGCTATAAAATTTTATAACATGAAAAATTTTCACCTTTTACAGCAAAAAGTTATGATTTTTATGGTAAAAAACAAACACCTCACATAATTGAATCTGGATTCACTGCAGTGAATCGAGATTCACTGAAGTGAATCTAGATTCACTCATGCGTTTATTGAAGTAAAAACAAGCTGGATTCACAGAAGTGAATCGAGATTCACTCATGCATTTATAGAACGTGTTTGATGATTTTAAGCAAAAAGTTACAATTTTTACATTAAAAACAAACTGGCGGTCAGCGGCGGAGAGGAGAGGGGAAGGGAGATGGCTGATGGTCGCGACGGCGAAGGCTGGTCGTGGTGGTGGCGAATGGGGCTGACGGCGTTTCTGGAAGGAGGTCGGAGAGGAGGTGAGGCGTTGACTAGGGTCGGAGTTCGCCGGCGGGGGCTCGTCGGGGCTTGGGGTTGACGGTGAACTCAGGCGGCGCGGTCGTCGCTGCTGGTCGGAGCTCGAGCGGGGGTGGGGTTGACGACTCGAGTTGGCGGGTTCGCTGGGAATGGAGCGGAGGAGATGGAGATGGTCGGGTTGGAGGGACAGCGAGGGTGCAGGCGGAACTAGAGGTCGGGTTTGGGAGCTTGGCTTTGCCGGCGTGGAAGCTTGTGTTGATGGCGGACGAGAGAGAGAGAGAGATAGCTGGGTAGGAGAGAGAGAAAGTTGGAGTTCTTTTGGAGGATGACGAATCCTTCACTGAAGGGAGGTGTGACTTTTGGGGAACCACACAGTCACCATTATTACTCTGGTCTTTTGGAGGCTGGATAATTTAGCCTGATTACCCATTATTGCCAGCATTAATTGCTTATAATCCTCGAGCCATTGGATGAATCTCAATCCAACGGAAGTGGATAGGTTTTTATTTTAGGATAGTGAGGTTTTTATTGAAACCTCTCCTCGTATATATATAATATAGTATATAATATGATATATTGAGGAATATGGGTAATCTTGATAGTGAGGTTGCACAAGTCGCATCAATCATTCAAATGGCGCGGACCACATTCACATGGGTTGAGGATGCATGAGGATATGATAATCATTGAATGAGTGAGGGGCATTATAGTCACATCACTACAAGCCATAACTTTTTGGGCTTGGTACCAAGCGATACACATTTCTCTCGTCTCTTCTCTCTCTCTCTCTATATATAATAATATACTATATATATAATATAATATATATATCGGGTCGGACACTGCCGCCTGGCGGGCGTGCGAAATGGCCCTAGTCTGGGCCCCGGGCCTCAGGCCCAATTAGACAGGCCTAGACATATCCTTGACATTGCGAAATTCACCATTTGGAAAATTTATTCCCCTCTCATCTTTGTATTATTATTGAAAGTAAGCCACTGATTTGAAAATTCTCAATCATATATTCATTTGGGGTCATCGGATCTCCGCCTGAAAAATAACCCAGTATAGAAGCTTTAGCCCAAATATATCTTCTACCATGGATGGGTTTAATCAATATCTGGACCTAGTCTAAATTATTTTAATGGGTGAGTTTGGTGTCATAATTACATCCGAAAGTTAAAATTAGTTTTTTAAAATAAAAATAATTTCCAATCAGATGAGGTTCTCTCAGCTATTCTTCGGCTCTTACAAATGAAATTGTGTGATTTCTATGATGTCCCACAGTAGGGAGGAAAAAGACGCGCAGTTGATGGAGGTGTCTGAATCAATGATTGAAAGACGCTCAGTCTCAATCGGTGCAAAATTAATGCAACAATGCCATTATATAACTTTAACCTTCATTAACCTGAACCATAATTATCCCAAACATGAACAGAAGGAACCACGCCGTTGACGCATCTTTCTGGGATACGCACGCACTATCAACACAACAGGTGCATTCGCCAATAATTTTCTTCTATTAGAAAGCTTTCAAATATCAAAGTCAGAATGATGAGACAAATATATAATAACACCGAGAGGCTGAATACAAAAAGAATAACATATATGTGGGAGCTTAGCCTCTTCTTTCGAAAATGTTTACA